CGGAAGTCTCCTCCTTTTTTCTCTCTTTTTAAAGTCAAATTCTTCTTTTGCTTTTTTATGAAGTAGTGTATAGAAGCAAAATCTCATCTTTTATGTTAATTCTTTAATTAATTTGAGCCAGACTACTTTCCACTGTCTTCGTGGCACTTTCAGGATTACTTAATGCTGATATATGGACTCTATGGATGGAATTTTTGAAGCAAATTCCTAAAGCCTGTATCATTCTTGAAGGTCATATGTACCTATTGTGAAAATGTGAAGCTGTATTTCCGAACCTGAAATAAATTATAACATTTGAAGGACACCCCCCCTTTCCTCATTCTTGGATATATTTGAATCATGTTGTGTGCATTTCCGTAATACCTGAGACTTCTAAATATAATCTTTTGATCAAATTGGTCGAATACTACCAAAGTCACGGATAATAGCATTTTGCATTTCTGTCATTCATTTGGGAGAAGATGAGTTTCTTAAAGGGAGCCAGTTGGAGAAACCAAAGGCAAGAGAGTGGGAAACATTTTATTCTGGATTTGAAGTCATTATTGGAATAGATTGAAGAAGGAGACAAATCTCGGATAGCTGGGGGTATGATGTGACACTTGCTGAGGGGCATCATGACATTTTGCCATTGAAAAAGAAGTATTCATGGAAACCCGGGGAAGTAGAAGGAGGAAAGATGTTCTGCCCAAATATCAGGCCTACAGAGGCATTTCTCAACAGCAAATAATTGAACTTCTAAGGCCTCCCTTATCTGTTCATTGGGTGTAGAGTGGAGAATTTACTCCTTTCAACCTCCCCAGCATTAAAAGTGTCCAGTAGTTACATACATCCCTGTCCTGAGTTTCCAGAGAATAGAGACTCTCCATTGTGAGAACTTCAGTGATAGGTCTCTTGTCCAGACACCTAGTTCCAGATTGGGCCATCCAGAGGCATAAGACGAGAAGAGACAGAGAAAAACACTGGTTTCATTTTCCTCTGTGATCGGGACATGCTCCTTGTGAAAGGCTGACCTGGACAGACTGTTGTGTTGATTCGCCTTTTCCTGCTGTAATTTCTTTCTCATATCTATATATTTTCCATGTGTGGAGTATTCAGACCTTCAAAGGAAGCTTCTTAGAGGAAGGCAGATTTAGGATGAGAATCATGCTGTCCATTTGTGTTTTGTTTTGACGGTATGATTCTAAAGTATGTTAATAATAATTAACATAGAGAATAATTTCTAAGAAAAATTGCCAAAAGCAAAAGACTTTATTGTAACGATTTAGCAGTTTTCCTTTTGTGTCTTATCAGTTGTGACATCAGTGTAAATATCTGTTCGATTTGTTTTCAAAATGTTTGTTTGTCTGCTGGAAACTTTATGATCTCCTATTGAGAAACCTATCTGGTCTTTGGGTTCCATTGACCTCAGACCTAGCTTCCAACTACTTCAGCACACACCTGCCATTGCCACTTTTCAAATCCTTTACTCGGTATTAGAATAAGTGTAAGAGATATTAACTAAAACTACAACCTTAATTCAAAGTTTCCCAAAGCGCACTCCATGATATCTTAACAAGTTTTTTATACACATACACCAAGCATTTGGACGAATATACTTGGGACGTGATGACTAAAAATTGCACGTTTCTTTGCTGAAAGAATTTACAGAAGCCTTAAAATCAGATCGCATTGTGAATCTCTAAGAGAAGGACAGACTTACTTGGCCATAGAAGCTTTATTCATAGAGCATCTCACAGGACTGGGCTTCTGAGGCACATGCCTTAGGGAACAAGGCTTCGGAGTTTTAAGCTGGAGGAAAAGCCATTGAGTGTGATTATCCTGACACAGACTGTCATAAACAAAGAGTTGGTTGATAAATAAATATGGGAGCAAAAGGAACTCCCAGTTTAGGACACCCCTCGTGGAGCTCTGGTGCTTTGTCGCAGTGGTGTCTGAGTCCCACGGAGGAAGGTCACACAGGAACAGAAGGAAGCAGATTGGAGACATAGATGCTGCAGGTCTCAGTGAGGCTGGTGTAGGGTTCAGATAATTCTCTACCTTACTGTTTCTTTCTGACTCTCTAAAACAAGAGCTCTTCTCAATTAATTACATCACTCCCATGAGGTTATTTGAAGCAAGGGATCCAGGTTGATTTAAAATTAAAGGTCATCAGAAAAGAATTTAGAAGAACACAACACCTATTGCCTTTCTTTTCTCCCTTTTCTCAGCTTCAGGCTCACCCACTGCTCAGGGACGCCTCGTTCACCGAATGATGGGAAAGAAAAGCAAGCAGAAAATGTTCTGTGAGGTTTTGCTTATTTGTTGGTTTTTAGATGGAGTCAAACTCTGTTGCCCTGAGTAGAATGCCATGGGGACAGCCCAAAGCAACCTCAAACTCAGGGGTTTAAGAGATTCTCTTGCCTCAGCGTCCTAAGTAGCTGGGACTATAGGCATCCACCATGATGCTTGGCCAGTTTCTCTATTTTTAGTAGAGATGGGGTCTTCCTTTTGCTCAGGCTGGTCTCAAACTCCTGAGTTCAGGTGATCCACCTGCCTCAGCCTCCCAGTGTGCTAGGATTACAGGGTTGAGCCAGTAAAAGCTATAAGATGACATTTCAGGAATCTCACCAGAGGAATGTCCTCATAAGACCCAACTGCAGCATTGAGGTAGATCCATAACATGGGCAATTCACTATTCGTGTTAGTAATTGAGTATTTTGCATATGAATTATGTCCATATTCCACATACAGTTTTTTCAATCTCCTTCCCTTATTATTTTGGCCAAGCAACTCTGCTATGAAGTTATTTTTCAGAAAGATTAAAAAAAAATAACCTGAAATTATGATCTCCCTTAGGCAAAATGGCTTATATAAGGTGAATACTAGTATGATAAGCTTTAAAATTTGTTAGGAACTCAGTATTCCAGTTCAGTTCTCCAGCACTCAGACTGGGGGAAGCAACAGCATGAGGTGCTTTTGAAGCTCTGTAAAAAGCCCAGATATTCTCTGCCCTTCTCTATAAGCACAGCACTTCAGCCCTAAGTAGGTAATAGAGAAAATTATGGAAAAGAAATAGCAAAACCCCCAACTCCCCAGATCCGTGACAGTTGACTCTGACCCACTGAATAGTCTCATCCTTTGCCACACTTTTGTGGCCTTGAGAGGAAGGTTAGATGCAGGGTAAGTGAAGATGGAAAGAAAGGAACCGTCTCGGGGGGAGGGGAGACAAATGTCGCCCTGATGTTTGAAGTGAACATTCTAGCCGTCAGTGAAAATACATCCCAAGACAAAGTTTCTGCTCCTGTTTCTGGATTAGAACACCAGACTACCTCAGACAGGAAAGTGTTTCGGTGTGTGCTAACAGAATGTCCCTTCAGCCCTGTGGCCTTGCTGTTCAGTTTAATGGCTCACCTCCCCACCCTGCTGAGGTAATTAAAGTGTTCTAAAGCCCCTTCAGAACTCAAAAATAGTTGCTGTTTGCTGGACAGGTGATAAATCTCATTGAGCCTGACAGAAATTTAATTACGCTTTCTTCATGAAAATGCCAGGGATACCCATTACCTAGATCTCTAAAGCCAAAGGTTTGCAGAACCTCTTCCCCTACCCCCAACCCCCAGTTGAAAGGTTAGGTACCAATAAGGAGTCCTTCATAATTTAAATGGATGGGAGCTCTCCTTAGTGCAGCCAGCTTAAATTGGACTGAAGAAAAATTGAACTTGGACTTTGGGGAAGGTAAGATCATTTTTTACCACTGCTCAGAAATAGCCCGGTCAGTTTGGCTCCAGTGACATCTCATGGAAGATGAAAAAGAAGTGTTTGTTTCTGTTTTTTATAGACTTCATTGCTCCACTCACTGAAGTGTTGCAGGAATAAGATGGAAGTGAGTATGTTTTTGGACACCTGAATGAGGAACCAGAGAGAATAGGGCATGGAGACCACCTCACAGTTCTGTGGCTTGCTGTAATGTGGAATTCATTATTGATCTGGTTAGAAAGAGGAAATTAAAGTGTAGACTTCTACTGGAAACCAGTGGCAAGGCTTTATTTGGCCTGCTGTATGCCTGCTTCCCAAGCCATGCATTGCAACATATAGTCTGTTGTTCTGTCTTCTTCAGCTGCAAATCATCTTCCTGGCAAACACCAAGAAACTGATGTCAAAATAAAGCACAACTCTGGACCTTTATTTCACAATCTGTGGGTCTGATAAAATTTCAGCCAGGCCAGGGATGTGGAGAAAGATCCAGCAGACCAGATTTCATTTACCCTGGACCCACGGCAGAATAAATCAGAATTTCAGTTGCACCTAGCCCTAAGATAGAGAGAATCCTACAAAATCCTGGGGTCACCGTGAACCAGACTAGCCTCTTAGTTTCTCTAGGCCTGAATCCACATCATGACTAGTCACCTGGAGCAAATTGTTACTTCCAAATCCTTTTCTCTGAGACCTACCTCTGACTCTGTGATTACATTCCTCATTTCATCTCATGACACCTTCTAATTCCCCTTACTTAAAAACATTCACCTGCTATATTTCTGTATCAAATCCCCCCCCCCCACCTCTCCTATGGAAATTTCACAACACCCATTGAAATCCTTGGAAATAATTGAATGTCACAAAATCAGGATTGGGAATCAAATATCTAAGTTACAAAGGCATTTGGCTCTGGAACTATTCCCAGTTCTCCTGAATAAGATTGCACCGATTTATCATTCCATGGTACAAAAGAGTAAAAACCTTTGAACGGCCTCAAATGGCTCCTACCCAGCATACTGACTGCTGGTGGCCAGGAAAAGTCCCAGGAATTGCTAACTTGCCATGTGACGTTCTTTCATTGCCCCTGCATGTCTGCATGTGTCGTTCTGGGTTTTGTTTGGTTTGGTTTGGTCTGATTTGAACTTGACTTTTGTGAAATTTTTTTGCATGCTCTTATTTGAATTTGTTTTATAATTTATAATATTGTTTTCTTCCTCTGCATCTGTGTTTTTCTTTTTTGTTATTTTGTTTTGTTTTGTTTTCACTAGGCGAGCCCCTCCTGCAGTTCCAGGAAGACCATCCTAACCCCCGTCATTCATCTCCTTTTGTTTCCAACAACATGTCCACCCATGGTATTTAAAAGCCTTTCATTTGCACTATATGTCACATGTACATAAAAACTTTTATTTTTGATCCAAGTCTATAATAAAAAAGTTTATTCTATATAAAAATCAAATGTGTCCTGTTTCTTTTTCTAAAGAAGACGACCCAAATTAAAATAAGACTTTGTTTCAACTAGAACCAGGTAAGGTGATAAAATGCTTTATTTGATCTTTTAAAGAGCTTAATGGAAAAGGTTCTTAAAGCCTTGTAATGTATAAAGACCTTTGCTGGAGAACAATTATCTTCAGTTGAAATTTCTAAGAGTGCAAAGATGAAGAAAAACTGTGGATGTGTAGAAAGGACACAGCTGACTGAGTAATTTCAACTCACCTCCAGTAATCCCGATAATGATTTTATCATTGTACCAAAATATTCTTTCCTATTTTTATGGCTTTTCTAAACACACTAATGGGAAATAAAATATGTAAGATCACGCAAGAAACTGTAGGTCTGAAACACATAAACCTCACAAATTCCACTTGGCAGATTCAGGAAGAAAACCCATATCATTCAAAATAAAAGTACAGGGTAAGGAAATATTGCCACCTGGAAAAGAGAGCCTGCTCATGTCGGCAAAGTCCTAGGAAAAAGGAATCTGTATACATTTGTGGGAAAAGAGAACTTTGTGTGTGTGTGTGTGTGTGTGGTCAGGCCTCAAATGTTAATTCCAACACTTAAAATTTAAGCTGTCATTTTTTAACAAGTATCCAAAAAGTTTGCCAAAATAAGATGGTTTTTATTGAGGTAATAATAGCACCTCCTGCCAAATAGGTGATCTGAAGTCTTCCCAAAGGTTTGAAACTTAATTCAGGATTTTCTTCATTGAAAATTTACACGGCCTAAATTAGAATTTAAGAGTAGCCCTCTCCCATGATATCACTTCTAAATGTGCCCTCCCTTTAGTATTTTCAGAGGGAAAACTATACGACAGGAGAGTCAAAAGTCACTCACCAGGAACTGAGGTCCCATTTACTCTGCCTCTCACCCAGGCAAGCCCTGGCAAGGCGTGGTTTAGGGAGGATCTGAGCAGGAACCCCAGATTCTAAAATGGACAGCTTTCATTACTCAGTCTCCCTCTTTGGACCATAAAAATGTTTTTTAAGGACTAATTTCTCTGCTCAAAATTGCAAAATCAGCTAAAAATTATTCCTACGCCATGTTCTATCATTTTTATTTGTGTTCCAAGTCCTGTGACTACCATTTAGAAGCACTGGTAACTAAGAGAGTTCAAAGGCTCCAAAGCAAGGCATCAGCTGAAGCGCAGCTCTACCCGGAAGCAGTGGCACTGATGCAGAATCACACACACCATGCAGTCTCTGGCCCGTCCTCTCAGCTCCAGTCCCAGGCCGGGCATTAGATTTCGTAATCAGTATTCTTATTGGATTGCATTCTCATCCTAACGGACACATGGTCCTCCGATTATGTCAGACCACCTCCCCAAACAAAAAAAACAGGTTATCATTGGAAAGGTTTTTTCCAATTTATTTTTTTAAGTATTTAGTACTTTTCCACTTTGCCTTCATGGACTTATTTTTATGCGCACTGTTAACACAGTTTAGATATTTAAAGTGTAAATCGACCTGACAAATGATGAGAAAGACAACTCCAGTGCTATTGGAATGAGATGATAACTTTATTTAGTCTTCCTGTGTTCCCCCTCTCATATTCTGTAGACAAAAAAGCAGGGAGGGAAATCAAGGTGGCGGGGCAGGAAGCAGCCAGAAGCAAAATTAAACCATGATAAGGTTTGTTAATCTGTATTTACTGTTAGTAGTGTGTGTATATTTCATACTGCACCCTTCCGCAACTCTCCCTACCTCTACCTTCACCCTCCTTCTTTAATAGAGGGATGAAAAGGTACAGCATTCTTCACAGTTGGTCCTAACTCAGGGTCAGGAAGAGCCGAACTATTATTTTCATTCCTCTGTTTATGTATCAAACCTTCTTGAACTCATAAAAATGCCCTAGTCACAGGAAACACCAGAGGAGTAACAGGACACAAGTGACTTACATAACAGTTGAATAAGCAATTCCAGTGCAGGGTAAGGGAACAGTTACAATAAGGGAAAAGTTGAGTCTTTCCTGTAAGAAATGCTACTGACTTCCGGACTGAAACAGCTCCTTGAGTTCTAGAATCGTATTACAGCTTTACCCAACACAGTGCTAACATTCCAGAACATGGCGATTGTGACTTCCGACAAAGAAAGGAATAAAGGAACTCATTCGAGCCAATCAGAAACCATCCTTTTCATTCCAAATGGGATAATGCCAGACTAAATCACACGGGTGGTGGCTGAGAAGAAAGCGTATTGGTGCAGCGAAGCACTCTGTTAGCTTGGCTCGGCTCCTAACAGAAAGGCTTCCGATTCAGAAGGTGCTCTCTACATAGCAGCCTTCCTTGGACAGCAGATTCTGCAGTCTCCTGCCGGAAAAAAATCTGCAACATCTAAGAGATGGACAAAAGAGAACTAAAGGTAGGAAAAAATAAACAGAACATCCGACCCCTTTCTTGTGGGGCCTCACTGGTAAATCAGTGTCTGTAAGCCTTGGGAACCACATGTACATTGGGGTGCTCCAACAGACATCCTAGAAGCCGAAAATAAGAGAAGGTAAGAAAATGACCCCACTGTTAGAGGCAGGGATACTTGTAGTGGGTTTCTGGCATGACCTACTTCAATGCTTTTTATCCTAGAGTTTAAAAAATTGTTAGACTTGCCAACATCTGTTTTATAACTCGGCATTAAGTATGATTGAAAAATCCTCAGAAAATTGGTATGGAATTGTTTAGTCCAATTCCCTGAGATTCTAAAGTAAACCTTCTGAATCACGACTCCATTTTAAAACCATGAACCTCATTCACTCAAAGATGGCTGAAAGAGAAAGGAAAGAGGAAAAAAAGAACTTTTATAGGCTTTTCCGATTACTACAGTCTATATCTGAATGAATCCCCCTGAGCTTCTGACACTATACTGTTGTTATGTCCCTCCATTTAAATGGATATGCTAGGTGCTTCCATTAACATAGTACAGACACTCCGTGGCTTAGGATGGGGTATGTCCCAATAAACCCAGCAAAAGATGAAAATATCATTTAGTTGAGAATACATTTAATATTCCAATGAACCCATGATAAAGCCAAACGATGTTAAGTTGAACCACCATAAGTCAGGGACCGTCTTTATACAGACCAGTTGTTTGTCTTTATGCTACAAGTTATTATTGAATGACAGACAACACTGTCAACATATTAACGCAATCAAACCAGGTGTCCGGCTACTGGGTGACTCAAGACTCCAAACTGCTACTCCCAGCCTCAGCTTTTACCCGAATCCAATTTTACAGTACTTTATAGCAGGTCTCACTGTTCAGGCCCCATTCACATCTTTAATAACTTCATGAACATGAGCCTTGGGCAGGTACAGAGTGAAGAAAGCGTCCACAAACCCCAGAAGGCCAGAGAGGCATAAGGATTCTCCAGACAGTAGCCAAGAAGTCACTAACCTGGGTTCTGCCCATCAGAGCAGCTGCTAACAAATTAGGGCTGTGACGGCCATCTAGGCTCCTAAGGGCTGTGTTTTCTCTCCTGGTTCTACCTCTGAAGGTGCTTTTCAGAGGCAATGGATAGCAATTTACAGCCAAGGACTGTGTTCCTTCTACCTGTTTTTTTGTTTGTTTGTTTTTAAGAGACAAAAAATACTCATCTACATATACAAAAGCTGCCTGGGGTCTAAAACACCTATTTGTTTTAGCAATTTTAAAAGAATGGGAGGCCTACTGTGTTCTCACTGACCAGAATCTAAACGTTACTTGGGCCGGGCACCAGGCCACAGGGCCATCCTATGGTGGTGAGCAGTGAGCCAGCCAAGCTGGGGCAGCAGAAGCAGCTTTTCTGAGCCAGCTTTTACAGGGGCCCACCAGACTGCAGTTTCCCTTGACCTCAGCATTGGTAAAAGCAATTTGTCCCATTGTCCTAACAGCATTATTATGGTTAAAGTGTTATTGACCAGTGCTTGTCTGTTTAGGGCAGAAGACCTGGGGCTGGTCCTGAATGTCATTTGAACCTCAGTGCCAGTTGGTGCCAGATGGTGGCAGAAAAGAGATTTTTGCCCTTCTCAGCCCCTTCCTTGGGCGGTTTTATCCCCCTGACGGGCATGAGTCGTCTCCAGCAGCATGGTGTTGCCAGGCCCAGGGTCCTGAGCAAATGCCAGCAGTTGGGAAATGGCTGCTTCCCAAGTACCCCACTTCTGGGGAATCACCCACTAATCACAGAACAGACCTGGGAAGAAAATGGTGTGTGGGTTTGGTTGGCAACTGCTCTTGTTTCCCAGGTAAACAAAGCAACATTATGAGTTGCAAAAGAAAAAGGAAGCTAAAAGTATTGGCTGGTGCCGCCCACATCTTCAGGGTATCTAATCTGCTTCTGCCCCCCAGCTGAGCCATCCTGAGCCTCCCAGGGATGAAAGGAATGTTCCTTCTAAGACTAGATGCAGCACCCCAGGATGCTGGTCAAACCCTGGCTCTCACCTAAGCCTGATCACTGCCCACAACCAAACTTTCCAGAACACTGCAGTGACTTCCACCATAGAACTTTGCACAGTTCATAGGAAGTCTGTATCATTATCTTCACAAGGCCCTTGTCAAATGCACATCACCCAGAGAATCAGTAAGTTAATTCCATTAGCGAAGAATAGTGTTTGTGGTAATGTGAGGAGGCCCACGCTCGGAGACCACACCTCCTTAAAGGTGAAGAGAACCCCTCCCCAAATCTGCCCCTTCCTGCCCATCAATACACACACCATCACTACACACCACTGCTATCTACATTAAATTATCTCTTTATAACAGCCTGTGGCAATCGTCTAAGAATACTTAGACCTCTGGGTCAGCCTTCACGCTAATCCTTACCCAGTTCTTTTTACTCCTATCCCATCCCCTTCTACCCCTCCCAAACTTCTGAAATCCTTCCACCATCCCCGCAGTAATTCACTGCCCATGATCAAAGAAACATCCTGTATCTTCAGCCTACCCTCGGG